CAAAGTAAAAACAGCTCCTAAAATAGGACTCAGCAGTTTTAAACTCAATACATCAGTTTGACCAATAAAAATAAAATCTAAAAAACAAGTTTTGTTCTTCTCTCCTATAGTTTCCCGTTTGTAAACATGATGGAAGCAGTTTTGGACGCGTAGCACCAACAGATAGGCATAGCTATCTATCCGTGCTACGGTAGGAAAATCTGACGAGGTAGCACCGATAGTCAGAACACCTGGTCTACTCTCATGTCTATGATCCAGAACCAGGAAGCTCCTGGTTCTGATCCAGAAACAAACACAAACAATGTAGGAGAAACCAGCAGGTCGATGGTTCTGATCAGATTATCATCAAGGCCTCCTTAGTTCTGATCTCGACATTCATATGTCTTATTATTACTAGTTGCTTTTATTATTTACGTCATTTTACGTCAGTCCCAGCAGCATCTGCAGCTCCATGATGACCCACGTGACTTCCGCATTTCTTTCCAGAGTAGCGTTACGGCTAACACGGATTATAGAAATGGTTTCATTAATGATCCCGTTGCTCTGCTGGACTCTGTGTATCAGCTCTGTTTCTGCTGAAGGTGAGTTTTAATCCGCCTTCATTCTAACTAACGATTCTCAGAAACTGTTAATCCAGAGTCAGAAGATGAACAGGAAACTCCCGGATGATCAGCGATGACTTTCATAGTTAGCTATCAGTTGGACGCACATAGTGCAGCGAAACACTTTTAACAATAATAACACAAGATGATCACTAGTACAGATATTTATTAATTTTTACAATCATCAACAAATTTAAAACGGCGTTTTTATTTGGTAGGACAGGAAATATAAACTTAGTTAGATGTTGACACATCTTTTTGTTAGAATTACTTTTGTCCAAAAGGTTAACTCCAAACAGCTGAAGTTCAGGTAACTGGAGGTCAGTTGATTGATTGGTTATATTTTGAACCAGATCGTTGACAATGAAGCTGAAGTTGGTTTCTATTTCTAGCTTCCAATAGCTAAAGGGCGATTCCACCTCATTTTTCACTAACTTCCGCCTTTTTAATCGACCCTAGTTTAAAAACTACAACACCTAGACTCTTCAAACCTGGACCAGATTATTCTGCTGTTTAAGCTGGATATTTAAAACAATGTTTGGGATTTGTGAAACTTCACTAAAGATCAGATTACTATTCATATATGTTCCATGCGGTTTTTTTCAAATTCAATTCTAATTCAAAACCACTTTATTAATCCCAATGGGAAATTAAATGTTGGTGTAACTCATTACTCTTCAATGAGTTATTGTAGATATTGATGGGTTATGGAAGGAAAGATTTTTTGCAGGGGTCTGTTAAGTGAAGTGAAGTTCCACAAATCAGAAAATGGTTATAAACATTCTGCTGTTAGAGCAGAATATTCTAGTCCAGGTGTGAAGTGTCTGGTAGCTGTAGTTCTTTAATTAGAGCAGATCTAAGGTGATCCAGATGCAAAAAAAATGGTGAAAATCAAACTTCATTGAGTTTTCACAAATCAGGAAAAGTTTTCATAAATCCCAAACATGGT